GTACTGTTTGTGTGACCTTGAAAAAGTTACTTTACTATGGCTAAATCTCCTCATCTGTAAAATGGGGATGATAATACTTGTACACACCTCATACAGTTGTTTTGAGAATGAAATGGAAGTCAAGCAGGGCATCTAAAACAATGTTTGGCACCTAATAAATGGTCAATAGCTATTAACTTACAATATTTTCTTCTTTTTTTTTCTAAGACTGAGAGAGCATTGAATATCCATTTTTAGAAACTTACTTGTCCCACTTAATCACATGTTTTAATCCATTCAAATCAATAAATATTTTTCTGTATATTCTAAAATTTTTTTATTATGAAAACTCTCAGATACAGACAAAAGTAAGACTTCCGTACACCCATGACCCAGAATAAATAAGTCAAGACTGTGCTACTTTTGTTTTATCACCCCTATTTAATTTTCTTGTGTTTATATTCTGTTGGGTTTTTAAATGAATGGCAGACATCATGTCATTTTACTCCCATATGCTTCAATACACATCTCTAAAAACTGTGTATATTATCTCTCATATAACCACAGTGCCATTATCATCCCTAAAATTTTTTTAAATAATTTTTTTTTGTATAAAACTCAATCAGTAATCAAATTTTTCCAGTTGTCTCGAAACATCTTTCTACAGTTCATTTGTTTTAATTGAGATACAAACAAGATTCATACAGTATGTGGTTATTTTAGCTCCTACGCCTCTTTAGTTGCAGGCAGCTACCACTCCATTTTCTTACCCTGCCATTGAACTCATATAGAAATTGGATCAGTTGTACTATAGAACATCCAGCATTCTGAATTTTTCTGTTTGCTTCCTTGTGTCTTACTTAACTTGTACTTTTAGCCCCGCGGGAGCGCCGCCACGCTCCCAAGCGGCGCACTCTCCAGTGCGCCACCAGGCCGGCCCAGAAATATGTACTTTTAATAATAATAATGTATTTTTTTTTTTTGTCTTTTTTTTTATCTTTTTCCGTGTCCGGCAACGGATCGCAACCCTCAGTGTTGCCCCCGTACCGGACTGGGGACCGGCAACAGGATTGCAACCCTCGGTACTGCTCCTGCGCCTCGCTCAGCCAGTGAGCGGGAACCAGTCTGTACGTGGGATGTGAACCCTCGGGCGGGAGCGCCACCGTGCTTCCGAAGCGGCGCACTTATCCAGTGCGCCACCGGGCCGGCCAATAATAATGTATTTAATAATAATAATGTATCTTTTATAATGAACTAATCGTGACAAATGTGCCACAGTAACATAAATTGTTAACAGGGAAACCTGGGCTGGCTGGGTTAGCTCAGTTGGTTAGAGCGTGGTGCTGAGAACACCAAAGTCCAGGGCTTGATCCCTGTACGGGGGCAGCCACCAAAAATAAATAAATAAATAAGTAAATAAGGAAACCAGGCCTGAGGGCTTACAGAAACTCCGTTACTATTTTCACAACTTTTTATTCTTTTTTCCCACAATT